AGCTAACCCCTCTCCCATGCTCTATCTAATAAACATGCTGAGGCTCCAGGTTGTAATGGTAGCAATAGCAGTAAGAGTAGTAGTAACGGCAGCAGTGAGAGAGTCCCACCTGATCCCAGCTTCAATGGATGGTGTCTATATGTCTGTCCTTTCTTCATTCCCTCACCACCCCTAGCCAGGGTTCTAGGGCCCAAGCCACATGGAATGTGGCAAGAACTGATCCATAACATTATAAGCAACTCTCTTACACATATGATTGATAGCTCCCCAATAATTTTTAGAGGTGTCCAGCTCTGGGTGATACGCAGGTGAGCGAACCTAATCAGGCAGGGTGTTCTAGAATTCAAAGTCCTTTAGGGATGGCTGCTTTGTGTTTGACATTCTCCAGACTCTCTCTTGACCCTGAAAGCATCACCATTGCTGTTCAAGTTCTGTCCTCCTCCTGGACACCAGATTTCCATCTCACTTTGGGTTGCATTGTGGACCAAAGTGAAGGGTCAATACCCTTTCCTAAAGGCAGTTTCTAAGTCCTATTTCAAGTGGACTCAAATCTTTAATAAAGAATTCATCAAAATCTGTTCTCAAGAGAAAACAGAACTTTCTCCAAGCTGCTATAGTGTTTTATCAAACCCTTAGATATTTAAGATGCAGTGTTCAAGCCTTGTGTTTCAGCTTCCTGTTTTCATCAGAATATAAAGTTACATTATATTAAAAAGTTTGTTCAGTTCTGTAACAAAAAAGTTAAGAAAAAAAAGGAAACAGAATTTATTTTAATATATATATATAAAGTTATAGGTATGAAATATATATTTTGTGTAAAAAAATACATTTAGATAAAGAGTGAGAGGTGGTAAACTAGCTTTGTTCTAAAGTAAAGGATTGTTCCAAAAGGAAACAGAAGGAATTAAGAACAAAACCAGAAATCTTAAGCATACTGCAGAAGGTCCAAAAAAAAAGTTGCCAAAAAGATAGATGACAGCCAAAATTTAAAGTATAATTGTGTGCATGGTTAAATTGCTATAAATAAATGATGTTTTTAAAAAATGCCAAGTTGGATTTTACCTATACTTAATACATTACATCAGTCAGTCCACCCTGACATTGAGAAGAAAATATAAAAGCAAACAGTAAGATTCCCCACATACACTTAGGTAGCTGACTTTTCATTTTTGCTTTTGGCATTTTCAACATAAAGATTAAAATAAAGACAGTCCAAACAGCCCACAGCAAAGGATTACAGGCAAGAGAAGAACACCAGTCAACAGGCTTGGCCCTGGGGAGAAGCACATTTCTCTAGGCAGGTAAGAGCTTAACTCTACAAAGAGCACAGAGAAGCAGAAGAGGATGCTAAAGGGATTGCCACTGCTGTGGGGAAACAAGAGATCTAGAAAATAACTGTCCTCAGTGGAGTGGAGAGGGGAGAAAGAGACTGAGAGAGAGAGAGAGAGAGAAAAAAAGAGAGAGAGAGAGAGAGAGAGAGAGAGAGAGAGAGAGAGAGAGAGAGAGAGAGAGAGAGAGAGAAAGGAGAGAGAGCCTTGACTGAAGGGAGATGTCATTCTGTAAATATATTTCTCTTATTGGTTAATGAATGACGCCCTGCTGGCCAATAGGAAAACAAGATATGTGGAACTAGAAGACAAGGAGGATTTTGGGAGATGTAGTAGGGAGAAGTAAAAATGTAGGCCATGAGAGGAAAAGAGGTCCGGACTCTCTCTCTCTTCGGTAAGACCATATGGAAACACTTAATTGATAGAAATTAGTTAATAGTTAAGAGAAAGCTAGGTAATAAGAAGCTTTAGCTAGTGGCTAACAGCTTTCTTTATTAACCAATAAGAGAAACAGATTTACAGAATGACATCTCCCTTCACCACCCCTCTGAAAATGGGAGGAGGGAAACCACTGCAAGGGAGGATGTCCTGCCTTCAAAAAGCAGGTCATCTATCCAAAGCCAGCTACCCTCAAAGCCTCAAGCTTCCCAAGTTTTACTAGAAAGGCAGCAACTACAGACCACCATGGAGGTTCCTTGGGTAACTCTTGATATGGCCTCACTGCTGAGGCTTACAAAATGTAATAATAAATATTGATGTCTATACTTCAAAGCCAAAGGAGTTATTGTCAGCCTGGGGACTTCAGAATTGCTCTGTGTGTAACACGACCTCAGCTGGACTCTACAACTAAGATACTAAAGGTAAAACAATATCAGCTACAGTAGTACTCACAAGGCTTCAGAAACAGCCCTAATAATCCTTCCCCCAAATTCAGTGTCAGCCCCTTTTACACAGAAACACCTACTCCTTCATGGGTGGCAGCTTATATAAAGGGCATGGAAGAAGGAACATCGCTCTCTTTTTGTCTATTTGCTCCTTCTCTGGTAGCCAGTCTGATGGGGATGTCCTTCTTTATATATGTTTCTCTTATTGGTTGATGAATAAAACATTGTTTGGCCAATAGAGGCAGGAAGATAGATGGGACTAGAAATCAAAGAGAACTTTGGGAAAGGTAGGCAGAGAGAGCCCACCTGAGGGAGACGCCATGTAGCCCAGGAAGAAGTAATAGGTCCAGACCCTTCTCTGGCAAGGTAAGAGCACGTAGAAATACTTAGATTAGTATAAATGGGTAAATAATTAAGAGAGAGCTACCCATTAAGAAACTCTAGCCATCGGCCAACAGTTTTATAATTAATATAGCATCTCTCTGTGTTATTTGGGGCTAAAGCAACTGTGGGACATGGTGAGACAAAATCTCCACCTGCACCAGTCCTTTCTTTCACTGGCATTAGAGCTTATTTTTTCATGATTCTAGCATATACTGAAGACCAGCTAGGACATCCAGCCTCATGGACTGAACAAGTACTGGGTTCTTGAGCCTTCCATCAGTAAGCAGCCATTGTTCAACTAGCTGGACCATGGCCTATAAACCATTCTAATAAATGTCCTTTCTAGACAGACAGATTCTATTAAGTTCTGTTTCTCTGGAGAAGCCTGACTAATGCTCCAAGATACCATTTTGTTCTTTTGTTTTGAGATAAGTTTTTGTTATATACCCCAATTGGGTCCCAAATTCACTATGTAGCTGTGGTGGTTTTAAAGAAAATTGTCCCCAAAGGGGACTCTATTAGGAGGTGTGGCTTTATTGGAGTAAATGTGGCCCTATTAGAGGAAGTGTGTCACTGTGGAGGCAAGCTTTGAGTTTTCCTACACTCAAGCTACTCCCAATGTCACAGTTCATTTCCTGTTGCCTTCTAATTAAGATGTTTCCAGCACCATGTCTGCCTGCACATTGCCATGCTCCCTGCCATGATGATAATGGACTGAACCTCTGAACTGTAAACTGCCACCTCAACTGTTTTCCTTTATAAGAGTTGCTTTGGTCATGGTGTCTCTTCACAGCTATAAAGCCCTAACTAAGACAGTAGCCAAAGCTTGTCTCAGATTCATTATGTAGCTCAGAATAGTCTTTAGGGCATAATCTTGCCTCAGCCTCCCAAGTGCTAGAATCACAGGTTTTTTCCGCATCACTCAGTAAGACTCTGCTGCTTACAGAAGAGAAAGAATCTTCCCTTAAAAACAGACTGTGTAGGGCCTGAGAGATGGCTCAGAGGTTAAGAGTACAGGCTACTCTTCCAGAGGCCCTGAGTTCAGTTCTCAGCAACCACATGGTGACTCACAACCATTTATAATGAGATTTGGTGCCCTCTTCTGTCATTGCAGGCAGAACACTATATACATAATAAATAAATCTTTAAAAAAAAAAAAAAAAAAGGTTGTATGCACCTTCAGAGTTCTTTATTTCCATTTCAGCTAGATCACCTTGGAGATGCTTATGAGAAATCAGTGAGGGTCACCAAGTGGATCTGACTGTCTCTTAAAGGCAACGTGGAGTAAACATGGCTTATTACAAAGTTAAACTGGGAAAGTGCAGAAGTGTTTGGGTTTACCATCTTTCCTTTTTTGAATACAAGATCGATCTAGGACTGTACATTGAGCATGCTCAGGAATTTACATCTTAAATCTGAGCAATCCAAGAATATGCCTGTTTCTACACAGACTTTTCTATATGAGTAAATATAGGCTTCCTGAATAAGATCCACTCATGTCCATCGTTCAGAGAGAACATTGCTTTGCAAATGAATCCACCATCCTCCTTGCTTGCAGCAGGCATATCTTTCTCTATCCTTTTATGGATGGGTTATACTTTTGGACTGTGTAATTGCCGGGGTGTGAGCCTATGGCATTTGATTACAAACTTTGTCTTAAATGTGTTGACTTGTCTCCTTTCTCATTGTTACTGCCTCTCTGAAATCATGGTTAAGTCTCACCTATGACAGAGCACCGAAAAACCTTTGTTACTGACAAGTTATTTATTGAACACCTAATAAGTGTCTGGCATGGGGTTATGGCAACAAGTAAGTACATAACAAATCTTTGTTGTCCTAGATGTTATCATATTCAGGTGAAGATGATAGAGAGCAACCAATGGATGGGATGAACTTTTAGTAAATTCAAAGTATAGTGGTGAGTGAAAAGTACTGCAAAAAGGGAGTCAAGCAGAGCAAGAAAAATAGGGAGAGGTGGAGTGAGCCGTGTTGGCATCAAGAAGATAACAGCTGAACAGTAAGATGAAGATGATTAGGGAGAGGAGGAAACAGGGAGTCAAAGTAAGAAAGAGGAAATCCAAGCAATGCCTCCATAACAATACCTCCATAGCGGAGGGAAAGGACTGAAACAGATATAGTTGTATTTCAATCTCGAAGGCCACAGAAAGAGATAATATTGAGGCAGGTGGCAATGCCAAGCAGTAAGAAGAGGCACGAATCCACCCGCCACTAAAGAAGCAATACTCGAATATGTACATACATTGTGCAAGGGAGTGGTGCAGAACAGGGATCCTTCTTGCGAGGTTGATACACTTTAAATACACACTTCTTGCACTTTCAGAGTAGCATTCAAATGAAACCCGTGCCCTCCCTGGAAGATTCTGTCATGGAAAACCATCCTTACCTCTGTGTGATGTTTTGAGGCCATGAAGACTGCCCAAAAAGCCAAGACAAATAGTATCAACAGGAGCAGCTTCCTGGCTGAAGCATTTGGAAGCAAAGCAAGCAGTGTCCTAGGAGTGAAGAGGATAGCAGAAGTCATCACACATTAAACAAAAAGCGGCCTGAACACCTCTGAGAACTCTGCTTGATCCTCAGTTATTTCCACAGTGGGCTATCACGCTCCTGGATTTTGCCAAGTCATGACTGGAAATCAGGTAGGGAGTTTTTCCCTGAGGCAAGGAAGGAAACAGGCAGAGAGCCTACTGCAAGTTTCTGATTCAGGAGAGGTCCTGGGGCTGTGTGAGAACCGGTCTGGAAGCTTTTCTCATTTCCAAATCAAGCCAACAATCATCTGCACATAGCAAGCACCTCCTCCACTGAAATTCTTTCATACTCACGCTGCTCTGGTGAGTGTCTTTCTCCCAGGTTCAGTAATAAATAGATCTCTTATTTAGTTATTCTATTTTTTTCAAGGCAGATTCCTTCTACCTCAAATTTTATTTTATTGATTGATTGATTGATTTTTTTTCTTTCAAAACAAGGTTTCTCTGTGTAGTCCTGTCCTGGAACTTACTCTGTAGACTAGGCTGGACTTGAACTCACAGAAATCCACCTGCCTCTGCCTCACTTGTGCTGAGATTAATGGTTTGTGTTTTCACTGCCAGGCTAGGGTTTTTTTTTTCTTCTTTTTATATCACTGAAAGGTCCAGGAATATAAAATTGTAGGCCCAAACACATTTTTGGGAAAAAAATAAAAGTGGCAGCCACTATTAACCTTTAACAACCACTTTGTTAAGAGCAGACATCCTGACAGCCCCTGTCCACTGCCTCCTGGCTTCTCAGTTAGGCAGGTACAGCAAAGGTTGGCTTTTAACTATTGCCTCTATGGGACCCTCTGTAACATAATTCCTTAAATTTTAATTTTCCCTCTACAGGACTCTACTCTCTGCCCTGCTTTCTTTCAAGGCAGCAGAAAGTAGCTGTATCAGCCACAAGCTTTCACAAGCATCCTAAGTTAACATCCTAAGATCCTATGAGCAAGAGTTGTAAAACTTAAAACTGGTGCTTGATTTTACAAAAGAGAAGTCTAATACCAGCTCCCATTTCCACAGCTTCAGAAGCCAGAACTCTAACTTGTCTCAGCTAGCTGATAACCTTTTTGTGCCCCTCAGTGATTTTTTTTTCTTTAATAAAGTTTACTTCTGTCAAAGTTTTCATCTTACCTTTTGGTTTTATTAAAATCCAGAATTCCAAAACTATGAGGCAAAGTGCTGAATTCTGACAGTGTTCCTCAAACATGTTTTTTATTAGAGTCACAGTGGACGAAGGATCTCAACTCAGCACATTTCCATATATGCACACACTTAATCCTTACTATGCATGAAGCAGTAATATTTCTTAGTATTTATTCTACTTGGTTCCTTGTCATTCTTTCCCACTTTAAGGTATATTCATGCCCATGTCGCATGCAATCCCCTGCAGCAAAACCCCAGCTAGTCCACAGTCCTTCCATCCCCCCTCCCCTGTAGTCAAGCCAAATAAGAAGATTGGAAAATACACACCTATGTCTGAACACCCTCCTCATGGTCTCATGTTCTGCTACGGCGTTTAGAGCTATCCAGAGAGGCACCCCGGTGCATGAGCTCTTTACATTTCTTTCAGCACTGGAGCCTCTATATAAAGCTTCAGTGATCAAAAGCTGACTGATCTTTGATTTGTAGGCACAGTGAAATACAAGGATTGCCAGTCTTAATAACCTGTTCATCACAGGTGGGGAGGAAGCTCTGGGGTTTGCTTTTAGAGAGGTCGTGATGGCAGAGTATGGGCTGTCAACTTTCTTCACGTCCTGCCCAGCTTATGCAGGCCTGGCTTCTCTCACCTCACGTTTATTCAGCTGTCCAGTCCACTCACCTCCCACACAGCAGAGGTTTCTGAAACATTCCAAAGAAGAAAAAGCAATCCTTGGGCCATGGGTCTGCCTAAGACTTCTGTGCCTGAGTCTTAGCAGTGTTTCAAGAGTTTGTCAACTCCTCTCCTAAACTATCATTGATATCAAACATTCCAGCAATTTCAAAAAATTACAATCCCACTGTAACCTTCATGGTGTAAAAGAGGACTGTGAAGGACATGGGTGACATGACACCAAACATGCTAAGCAACTACAGAGGGCTAACTGTCAGGGGACTTTCGAGCACCACAGGGCATAGACTGAATGTATATACACACTTTACTCTTCAGAAGGGTAATCTGTAGATGGACTTTTCTTTTGGCCACCAGCTCTCTCTCTTTCTCTCTCTCTCTCTCTCTCTCTTTCTCTCTCTCTCTCTCTCTCTCTCTCTCTCACACACACACACACACCACAGACTTCTTATTAATTTTAAAAGATCGGCCTATAGCTTAAGCTTGCCTTACTAACTCTTATCATTTAAATTAACCAATTTATTAATCTGTATTTGTCTCTCTGGGTCTGGGTTACCTCACTCAGGATGGTTCTCTCTAGTTCTGTCCATTTGCCTGTAAATTTTTAGGATGTCATTGTTTCTTACCACTGAGTAGTAAGTACTCCATTGTGTAACTATACCACATTTTCTTTATCCATTCTTCTGACATCTAGGCTGTTTCCAAGATCTGGCTATTAATAAATAATGTTGCTATGGGCATAGTTGAGCAAATGCCCTTGTGGTGGGACCACTGTTGGGCATATACCCAAAGGAGAATTCTTAACGGGAGCTTTTGAGGGAGAACTTTTTGGGAAGAACTTTTCTTTAAGAATAAAGAGCCATGAAAGGAATGCATGTGTGAGCCATTTTATTTCGTTTGGCCCTCAGATCAGAATTTTAAGCTATCCCTTTCTGCCTTCTGTAAGCCTCCTCTCTGAACCCTTGATAGTTTTGGATGCAGAACGCTGAGGAAACTTCAGTAGAGGCACCCTGAGAGGCTGGATCACCTGGGCCACTGTTTCCACCGGTGTCTGGTCCCCTATTGTAACGAGTATGGTTTTACTGCCCGCCGCCTGGTCTGGTCCCGCTGCCGCGCCAGCCCCAAATAATGCACAGAGACTCTGCATTTGATACAGTGCTATTGGCCAGGTACTAGTTTCTTACCGGCTAGCTCTTCCTTAATTATTAACCCATTTCTGCTGATCTATGTATTTCTCTTACCGGGGAGCCAGCCGGCATACTGCTTTCTCCAGACTCTCCATCTTGACTCTCCTTACTACTTCCTCTTTCCTCCTTGTCTCCTAGTCCTGCCTATCTTACTTTCCTTTTGGCCAACAGTGCTTTATTCATTAACCAGTATGAGAAACATATACAGAATGACATCTCTGAAAACACACAAACTTCCAAAGGTAACATACATATCTGCATTAACACAAGTATGGACTGTGCATTGTATACAAGCTAGCCAAAGATGTCCTTTTGTTTTTGTTTGAGCAGGGAAAGTATGTCACCAGCCTTGTAGTTTTTCTAGATTTATGTCTTTACGTCTATAGCCAAGATTTCCAATCGAACCGGATTTCTATCAACCTTGAAGGAATCCACAATCTTTTGTTTGCTTTTCAAACAAAAGCATAACTTCTTTCTCAAGACAATACATTTTCTGACTTCCATTTTAAAGTTTATGTATTCTTAAAGTATCTAGATGGTTTAATTCAGCAGTCCCTCATAAAATCCTGCGTCTCTTAGAAGCTGTCATCTGCTCATCTATAATCAAAAGATTTGAAGTCGATAAAACACCATATAGGATCTAGACTCCCTGTACGTTTTCCCTCTTTAGCGGCTTATCCTTTATATATTATGTCCTTCTAATATTTCTTTTTTTAAATCACTGTCTATACCCATTTCCTTTTATTTTTAATCCTACACACTTTTTTTTAACACACTGTAACTGTTTAGAGGTTTTTTACTTCTGGATCTGTCCTTACTGAGCACCTACAGCATTCTCTGACTGCATGAGACAAATCTTAAACTGCCATGTCAGCTACAGTGTGACTTGGCTTAGCATGTGGTGCTGGCACTGGCACATGGGGCTGGCAGCTGGCGGCTGGCGGCTGTCTCCAGCACATAGTCAGTAGCCAGTAGCTGAGCACCAGCCCACCTGGGAGACTACAGATCTAGGAAGCTATATCTGGTTCCTTGTCCAGAACTTTTCTTAGCCTTCTTAGACCCTGTGTTTAGGTATTTGAGCCCCACATTGGACCATATATATAGATGAATTTTTCTTTGGGTCACCAGCTCACCAAAAAATGACAAGGAGACTTATTGTTAATTATAAAAGCTCAGCATATACAGTTTAGGCTTTTCCCACAAGCTTTTATCATTTCAATTAATCCATGTATTAATCTATGTGTTGCCAACTGACTTGTGGCTTTTACCTCTTATCCTGCATGTCTTGCCTCCTTTGTATCTGGCTGGTGACCCCACCTTTCTTCCTCTCTGTGTCCTTTCTGTCCTCAGAAGTCCCACCTAACCTCTTCCTGCCTAGCTACTGGCCATTTAGCTCTTTATTAAGCCAGTCACAGTGACACATCTTCACACAGTGTAAAGGAATATTCTACAATCTCCTTGTATAAAGATATATATGTAGATACAGATATGTATATGCATGCATGTATTTAACCTATATGTATAGATATAAATTCATATTTGCCTCTATGCCAATTCTTCCAGTCATGTAACCACAAAACTGCATATATGTTGTGGCTATGATCACAGCACACTGAAAATATGCATAGGGGTTCAGAAGATAATTTGGGGAAATGAAGAAAAGCCAACAATTCTGCCAGCCCTTCCCTACCTCACATTCCCATCCACTGTCACATGCTGAATGGAGTATGAGAACTACAGCCTTATATCACATAATGCCATTGCAGCCAACAACAATGGGCAGTTTCTGATGATGGTCTAATAAGATTATATCATCTAACCGTGCCTCCGTTTATATAATTACACACTATGATGTCCACATAGCAACAGACCCACCAAGCTTCATGCTTCTCAGAACCCCACCCCATGTTTAAATGAAGACTAACTTGTATGAGAGTAACCCAGGACTCTTTGCCAGCTTCACTGCAGTACAGTTGACAAAGACTTAACTGTACAAAGTCATGATCCATATATACATGATTAAATGAGAGCTAAGAGAAAATTAAGATATTCTTACAGTTCATCTCATCCATGTGATAGGAGCACTCAAGACCTATTCTCGTGGGCTCAGGCTTCACAGTATTCACAGTATAGTCTTTGGATAACATGTACAAGGCCCTGACTTCAATCCCTAATACTGAAAAAAAAAAGTACAGACCTATTGTGTTAGTAATGCTCAAATATACAATATGTCATTATCAACTACAGTCACCCTGTTGTACAGTAAGTCTCTAGAAAGCATCCATCCTGCCTTATTGAAATCCTGGACCCTGTGGCCACCATCAGCTCTTAGCAATAACCACCCTTTTCTGTACTGCTGTGGATGTGGCAGGTTTAGAATCCACCTAATAGATAAGAGCAGGTAGTCTGTTTTTCTAGGCTTAGACCACCCCTCCACTCAGCTCATGGTTTTCCAGGTTCACTCAGGTAATTGCAAGTGATATGATTTTCTTCCTTTTGAAGTATAAACATGCACCACCATATGTATATAACAGTTTAATTCATTGGCTGGCAGGCACTCATGAGATTTCTCCATCTTAGCTCTCTTGAATAGTGTTGCAGTGAACATGAGAAGACAGATGTCTCTTTGGCATACTAACTGTATTGCCTTTGGATACATAGAAAGCAACAGAATTGCTGGGCCATACGTAATTGCTTTTTTTTTTTTTTTTTTTTTTTTTTTGCTTGTCCAGAGAACCTATCTTAATTTTCATCACATCACCAGTTTTTGTGTTCATCTATTCTTCTCTATATAACTCTAAAGCACTGTATCTTTTTATATATATATATATCATCTGTGTATCTAAAAGCGTAATTTGGTGGTTTATGACATGTCACAATGTGTGTGGTTAAGCATTCAGGATTGGCCTGGTTAAGTAGCTCTGCCTCACTGTAGTTCATGAGGTTCCTGTGAAGTGGAAGGTGGCCTCTTCCCTCAGCCCTTGGCTGGTGCAAGGGGACCTGTTTCTAAAATGACACTCTCATATGGTTGGTGTCAGAAGTTGGGGCTCTTGGCTGAATGTTAACAAGAGGCATCAGTTTCTCATGCTGATACGGATCCCTCCATGGGCTGTGTGAACATTTTTATGATGGCATAACAGGCTTCCTCCAAAGTGAACAATCCAATAACAAAGCCAGGAGACATTGCAGTTCTTTTAGAACTGACCCACACACTTCAGCCCCATCAAACACATGTATAAAATTGAGGTCAAAATGGAGAAATATATCAAGACTTAGAGAAGGAGAAGGGTCCCATGAAAGAGTGGAATGGCTATCTGAAGAGGTGGAGAGAGTTTCAGAAGTCTGGAAAATGCACTCTAGAGCCAAAGACTGACAAGGCTAAGTGGTTCCTAAGATGCAGGATAGTGTGTCTAAGGCAAAGGCGTGAGAATTAGGAAGCTGTGAATTCCCCTCCTGGCCCTGTCACTTGCTCAGTCACCTTGCTTATAAAATGAAAGTCATAACGTGGGCAAGCCAAGGCCTAAGTGTATAGTAAGGGTTCAATAAATGGTAGTTTGGTCTGGTTCAGGCCTCTTTCCAATGAGGAACTTCTATCTACCCTTCACAGTCCAACTTTTTGAGTTCCTGGATTTTGACGTCCACCTCATCTCCGTATTTGCCACCTCCGCACTGTCTCT